ATTGATGTATGTGACCTGTTACTGAGACATGTGACCTGATGCTAAGATATTTGACCTGATCCTGAGGCATGTGACCTGATATTGATGTATGTGACCTGATGCTGAGGTATGTGACATGGCCTGATGCTAAAGCAGGTGACCTGATGCTGAGTGAGTTGAGTTTAATGCTGTTTTATCAATACTCCAGTAACATCACAGCAGGGGACACATTTTGTACACTTGTAGGAAATGAAACAGGGCTCTTCAGAATGACGAGCACACACTTTATAACCACTGGCCTAACCCACCATCCCGACCTGAAGCTGAAGTATGTGACCCAATGTTGGTGCATTACATGGGTGTCTTTAAGGTGATGGGTGTCTTTAAGGTGATGAGACAAAGTGTGATATAATACAGAAATCTTTTAGATGACCTGGTGTGGAGTATCATGTTGCAGATTGGCATGTGACCTGGTGTTAAGGTAAGTGACCTGGTGTTGAGGTTAGTGGCCTCATGTAGAGGTTAGTGACCTGGTATAGAGGTTAGTGACTTGATGCTGCAGTATGTGACCTGGTGTTGAGGTAAGTGACCTGGTGTTGAGGTTAGTGACCTGATGCTGCAGTACCTGGTAGGTTAGTGACCTGGTATGTGACCTGGTGTTGAGGTTAGTGACCTTATGTGACCTGGTGTTGAGGTTAGTGACCTGGTGTTGAGGTTAGTGACCTGATGCTGCAGTAGGTGACCTGGTGTTGAGGTTAGTGACCTGGTGTTGCAGTATGTGACCTGGTGTTGAGGTTAGTGACCTGATGCTGCAGTATGTGACCTGGTGTTGAGGTTAGTGACCTGATGCTGCAGTAGGTGACCTGGTGTTGAGGTTAGTGACCTGATGCTGCAGTATGTGACCTGGTGTTGAGGTTAGTGACCTGGTGTTGAGGTAAGTGACCTGGTGTAGAGGTTAGTGACCTTATGCTGCAGTATGTGACCTGGTGTAGAGGTTAGTGACCTGGTGTTGAGGTTAGTGACCTAATGCTGCAGTAGGTGACATGGTGTTGAGGTTAGTGACCCAATGCTGCAGTATGTGACCTGGTGTTGAGGTAAGTGACCTGGTGTAGAGGTTAGTGACCTGGTGTTGAGGTTAGTGACCTGATGCTAAAGTATGTGACCAGGTGTAGAGGTTAGTGACCTGGTGTAGAGGTTAGTGACCTGGTGTTGAGGTTAGTGACCTGATGCTGCAGTATGTGACCTGGTGTTGGGGTTAGTGACCTGGTGTTGAGGTTAGTGACCTGGTGCTGCAGTATGTGACCTGGTGTTGAGGTTAGTGACCTGGGCCGCGTTTCACAAAGCTATCGTAGGGCTACGACAGTCATAAGTTTATGCTACAGTACAGGAGGTACGATTGCTACGAGAAAAGTTACGAGATCTGAGACTTACAATAGTTTTGTGAAACGGGGCCCTGGTGTTGAGGCATGTGACCTAAGAACTTTATAGCCCAATGTTGAGGCATGTTGCTGTTTGTCCTGATATGTGACTGCCACTGATGTGTCATTGCTCTACAGGTTCCTGGTAGTGAAGATTGGCTTTACTCACACCACTACACAATGTTCACTGTCTACTGACTCCCTCTGTAAACACTGCCTGCCCCACTTGTGGCACTGGTGTGAAGCCAGGTATCACATGGACATTTCACCATGTCCTGGTCAAACAACACCAATAATCAACACTGCTAATTTCTACAACACCTAACCTAACAGTGTTTCTTTGGCCACCTCAGCATCTTGTTCAGTGGGTGAGGACTTGGAAGCCATCCATCACCCATTATTGACATCCCGCGACCGGGCTCTCGTGTTTGTAGAACATGTCTAAATGAGTGAGGTACAGCCATTCTTAGAAAGGTGTGTAACGACATGGACAGTTGTAGTAAATCTTGCCCAATATAGTCCATGACGGCCATATTCATGAAATTACAAAGAAATTTGATTCTGCTTAATGGTGGAGAACTAATGTACACACGGCTAAATTGAGCTGTGGAGTGTATTTTTAGTTGGGTGTACCTAAATATAGCCATTGTCTGGGCCAAAGGTGTATAAAATCAATTATGTTAAAGATACTGCTGCTAATCCCAGCAATCATATGAGAAGGTTCTCACTGTCGTGTGTCTGGTGACTGCCTTCACAGTCTCTATGCATACAGCTGGCCAGCACACACAGACACATTGTGACTGACTTCACAGTCTGTTTACCCACAGAAACTTCCTCATAGCTACACACAGACATAATGTGACTGTCCCTGATCACATAACATGCAGGTAATATGAACAGTATTATCACTCAATTATTCAATATGACTGATATTAAACAGTGAGTGAGTGAGTATAGTTTTTATGCCACTCTTAGCAATATTCCTGCAATATCACAGCAGGGGGCATCAGAAATCGGCTTCACACATCGTTACGTAACGTATCCCTGTGGAAAATTGAACCCCAGTCTTATTTGTGACGAGTGTACACTTTAACACTAACCCCACTGCCCCCAATACAAAAGAAAACCAGCAGATTTGTCAAGTTCAGAACCACCGACGTCATCAACTCAGCATGTACCTTCCCCTTGTCAATACATCAGACAATACCACCATTACAACCCAAACATGGAAAAAGTTCACCACAGTTAAACATAAAACATTCATACAAATGGCCCTTTCCAGGACCAGCTCGAAACAAAGTTAATTGTGCTATCACTTTATGACCTGTCCATTCACAAGGAAAACTGTTTTCCCAACACAAAGTCATAAGAGTATTTACTCAAAGTACTTCCACAATGTATTTGCCATTTGTTTATCTGTCTGGTTGAATGCCTGTACCATACCTATTACAAAGCCCCTTTCTGTGAAATAAGTGCAATCACTCAATCAACACAAAATTCTAAATCTACCATTGAAAATATTACTTGGCATGTGTTTGTTCTATGAATGTATGTGAGCAGGTAAAATTTGAATGGAACTTAACTTCGCTTCTATGCTTTTCAAAAAGACATATTTCTCACAGAAATGACATAACAAATTCCATAAATTATTAATATGACAGAAACATACACGATACAATCATTTGTTATTCTGTAAATAGTTCTACAATCCTTTGTTTGAATTCTCAAACATATTCAAGCATTATCACATTTGCATGGTTTCATAATTTACAAAGTCTAACAGACGAAAATGTGATTAATTCTTCCTGTTCAAATTAACAGCCTGATTATGATACTTCCTTGTGTGGAGACATTTGACAGATCATTCATAAATAAACAGCAACAGTTGTGCGCCTTTCTCTGTCAGTAACCACATGACAGAACCAACTGCGCTGGCGATCAAGCGAATCTCATCAAGTCACAAGCAAACTATTCTGCCACGAACCTTCATCTATAATGCAAACCACAACTTAGAGAAAACACAAAGGATCTCAACATTAGCAAACCAAGTGTTCACAAAACAGACCCCACTTCCCTTACACTGGTTGATAGTTGGTATTCATTAGAGACTTCATTAGAACAATATCAACATAAGAAAAGACAACAATAAAGTTTTTTTAGTGTCAAACACAAATATCGAACAAATGATTTCTAATTTCCTGTGTTTATACTGAAACATTTTGAAATCGTATGTAGATTTTGCTGTAACATTTGGCAAAATGTCGACAAAACTGAAATTAAGTACCAGTAGTTCTTAGTGTTCTCGGCTATTCTTTGGTAAGAGATAATGAAACACATCTATGTTTTCTATGGCTTAGTCTCATCTGATGTTCTGAAAACACATCTTTTCTGATTCTGAATTAATTGTTTATACATTTCCAAAGTGTTTCAGTTAGAAAACCAACATCATTTTCATCAGTGTGAATTACAATTGATGCACAGAAACTATTTCAGCAGGATTTAAGAGACATAAGAATTATCCTTTCTTGCATTTCTTCCATATTTGGGTGTAAACAAATTTCACCAAATGACATGAGCATAGGAATATTGACTAGCTTTGGGTATTATCAGGATAATAAGGGGATAATTCATGCATCATGTTGATGCTTTGATAAGATGTGCTAAAATAGAACTTATGTAATTTTATTTAAGGTTTGCTTGTCTACTGTGGTATGATATCACTAATTAAAAGTATGTTTATTATGAATGATTAAACATCTAAAGATAGAAACAGGTCATAATACAAATCAGATACGCATAAAATGGTCGGTCTCTTTCTGTATCATTCGAATGATATGGTGAGCGAATGACTGCCATAGTCCATACATCATGGTGACATTTGTACACTTGTCTTCTAGTTCATGGTTAGTTGAATAGTTGTAGGGGCCAGAAATTATCCCTTGAACTATTCTGTTATATGAATGATCCAGTGTTTGAGGTGAGGTGAAATTGGGTTTTACGTCGTGCTTGAGAATATTTCGCTCATATGACGATGTGCATGTGTGTGAATGTGTATGTGGGGCTGCTTGTACTAGCCCAGACTTAAGCTGGTTTTATAGTGCTAGCCCACTGAGATACCATGCCGCAGTGAAGCATGAATACCTCACTCAGACACATTATACTGACTCCGAGCCGACCAGTCCTTGTTGTACCCATTAATGCCAAGCGCAAGGCAGGGACCAACAAGTACCATATTTTAACGTCTTTTGGTATGACGCGGTCGGGGATCGAACCCGCGACCTTCCGCTCTCCTCCAGTGTTTGAAATCAGCAAGGAAGTCAAAGGTCTGTTTCATACCCCAGTTGTTAAAAGATAACGTTCTCAATTTGCCTGAATTCAAATACCACAGTTGACCTCCAGAACCACTACATTCTGATCAAAGTAACGTGAAAAAAATGATAAGTGGTTTAATTAGATTAATTCAAGCCTGATCAATATACTTGTGTATCCAACAAATTGAGAGGTCATGCGTGCATAGATGACTCATCAACACGACCACAATGTGTTCACACAATATGTACCTGACACAAATCAAGTAAGTAAAATGCAGAAATTTCTACTCACCATCAGTGAGGTACAGAGGATCAACAGGCAGTTCCTCCTTGCGCTATATCAACTGAGTCTGGAAACAAAAACAAACAAAAACTAACTTGTTTGAGAGGCATTCAGAGTGAGTGAGTTTAGTTTTATGCTGCTTTTGGCTGAGTCATTTAGAAGTTGGAGCATTAAGTTATCATCACTTGCTTGATAATGGTCTTAGAATCTACACCAAAACATCGCTCTCACTGTAATAAAGAAGTTGTTCATCCATATATTGTCATCCTTCCACAAACAAAACTGCATTGTTAAAACAAAAGGGCAGTTCAAAAGCCTAACAAAGAAAGAAAAAATTAGAACCAGTTCAAAACATCACAGCTTGTTTCCTTCAAAATTATATATTTTCATAGATTAAGTGTCAGTCTAGTTTAATAATATGTTCCCTTAAGTAGCCCAAGGCATTACAAAAGTTACATCATGTTTGTCTGCCAGTGGGATTGTGTAGACAGGTAAATTGCATATTCAAACAACCTGCCTGGACAATACCTTGGGCAAATATTTACTCATTAGGTGAGGTAGGACTAATCAGATCAATTGGCACTGCCTCAAGGTATTTACTGAATATTGGTAGTACCTATTATGTCACAAAATATGGAGGAGGGAATTATGTTTTTATTGATTTACATGCTGATTATTATCTGTACAATTATATTCATAATTTGAAGACCACAAACAGAACAAACAAGTCCAAATATATAGCTTTACTGTATTCTAAAAAGATATACCATAAAATAATGTATTTTTAAGTCCCTGATTATGATAACTGGAGAAGAATATACCTTAAATTTTGCACTTTTGTGTGGGAACTTGAATTTGGCATCCTTGGGCCTTCTTGTTTCACTTTCAGTATTTGTACTTTGGAAAGCCCCTTAGCATGATAACGTCATGGACTCTTTTATGTTTGTATTAACATAACTTCCCTTGTGAAAATGCATTAAAAAATTACATTAAATGAAAATAATCCCATTGTGTCTTAGTATAAGGTCTGTTCTTATACGAGGCATTGTTCAAATTGAGACACTTAATTGGAATCTTACACTGAAAGAGATGGTTACAAATCAGCTTGGTTACAACTCTGCCTACAGTTATCCTGGAGAATATAACAACTTTCTGTTTGCTTCCTTAATTTCAATTCTATTTTCACATTGGTACTAAATCTCTGGGTAAGCAAACATTGCCATAACAAAACCTACTGAGAGTCCATGAAATTACTATGAATATGTGACAGTTTCCAAAAAGAAAATGAAAACTCAAAATGGAAATTGTATGTGATGCTCAAGTCTAAGATAGTCCAGTAAAATTGATGATTTCTGGGGATGATGCCACCTTCAAATTACCTGTAGAATGGCACAATGACCTTCAATTTTCCATATCAGCTGCTACACTATAGATTTAGATCAACCATTGATGAATTAGACATATATAGCCAACATAAAAACCAACTGTATGTTCTACATGCTGAAGAATTATCATTTAGAATGGATAACAATGCAATATATGCCAGCAATACAATCAGGATCTGACCAAGAGTGATGAAATTATCAATTATTGACATTTTTATGTGGTTGTCAACTACTTTCCAATCAAAATGGTACGAGGCCAATTATCAAGATCCAGTGATACTGTTGGTGTAAAAACACATATGTAATCAATAAACAAAAGTTAATATAACCATATATTGTATTTGTGTGAACAAAATTCGTTTTGCGACAGGTCGTGCTTAAGTACATGTAGCGTTCTCTTCGGTTACAGCCACGTTCTGTAGCCTGTTTTGACAGCAAATGCAAGGCTACTATCCAATTCTTTGGGGACTCACCTATTTATTTACACGCAGTACAGGCTTTCGCATTTTAAACCATGTCAGTGCAATGGTGCCATGATGGTCTACGTCCAGCAGAACGTCGTTAATAAAAGGAAGGAATTCATAATTATCAATCCACTATGGCCTTGCTCTTGTCACATCTTGAGCATCTGCGCATCGGCCATTGCCTAACCTTTGACCTTCAGGATGAGAATTTTATAACTTGATCACCGTATTTCTGAGAAAATGTGATAGTTTGTTTTCTCTACAAGAACAGATTTATTAATATTGTGTGGATTGGAATTGAAAATATCTAATTGATTATTGACATTCTGTTGGAGGAAATAGCAATCCGTGTTTACTTCCTTTTTATGAAACCCGGAAATGCCAATTATCTCCCTTTGAACTAGTTTCCTAAAAACTACCTTTTAAATTCTAAAACTAATATAAATATATGACGTAAAAATATCATCAAAAACATTTATATATATAACCTTATAACTATACACATATACTGATATTTAATAGCAAGGGTACAAACTATTAGTAGGTAGACATATAAAGAACTCGATCCAGAATAAATTCATTTGTAATTAGTTGTTACGAAGATAGTATAATATTTTACAAACGCAGGCCAATCAAAACTTTGTGTGGGATGTTTGAAGACGGCAAGTATGAAGGCATGAACAGGTGGCTGCAATTAATAACGCGATATTTTGTTTATCGTATTACGAAACGTGAGATAACATGGACGGATATAGGCATATTAGCTGCGTCGAAAGGGTTAATAATCTAAGGACATTTATAAAAGACGATCTACTGAACTGTGGTGTCAAACTTCCGAAAAATAAGAAGGCAAAGAAACTCAACAATTCAAGAGGCCCGTCACAGGTGAGGAAAATATTGTGAATTGTATGTTTAGATTCCTGCTAATACGATAACTGCGTGTTCAGGTGTGAATATATGCACCCCGTCTATCGTTATGCATAACCAAATAGATCGAATGTTTGCTATCGATAGCTGCTGAGTGAGGTTATCACAAACAATACAACCATTGCCTGAACCATGTGTTTTATGTATCAGACGTGCGAGTATTTTACCAAAGGAGATAAACAATATCAATTCAAATAAGTCTTCTCATACCAAAAACCATACCCAGACCAGTTTTGTATATCAGTTAATGACTTATCACCCAAAAAATAAAAAAAACCAAATTCTTCTTCCTTTCTTGATCATATCCAAATCTTTCAAACAGCGAATATACCCTGTATTCTCACCTAATAAACAACTACTGTCTACTCAGTAGCTGATTATATCAGTTGACATTTCACTCTTGTTTGTCTTTGCATGTGAACTTATGGGTTTTAGTGTCATTTTATTCATTATTAATTTCAATACTTAGGGCAAGGTTCTGTTTTTTCTAGTTGGTTTCGTATTTGCTTCATTATGTTATACATTTGTTTTGCAGGATGGAATTCATGTTCCGACTGGTATCTTTGGTAATTATCTTGCTCACGTGCCCTGTGAATATGTCGCAGACTGTGGATATGTTCCCAAGTAAGTTTCCTTTGCCAGTAACATTGTAATAAGATAGTTTTGTAACATATTAATGTTTTGATAGTGTGAAAACTGACTTCTTGTTGTCAGATATCAATCATGTTGAGAGTGATTGGTATATGGTTTAATGTACTTGATATCTAGAACCGCCTCCGTGGTGTGTAGTGGTTAGAGCGTCTGTCCAGAGAGCGGAAAGTCACGGGTTCGATCCCCAGCCGCGTCATACCAAAAGATGTTAAAATATGGTACTTGTTGGTCCCTGCTTGGGTACAGCAAGGAGTGGTCGGCTCGGAGTCAGTATAATGTGTCTGAGTGGGGTATTCATGCTTAACTGTGGCATGGTGTCTCGTTAAACCCCATTTAACATCACCTCTTGATATCTAGGTTCAATAATCATTATTATAATTGGCACACCTAATTATGCTTATAAATTTTATTGAGAAATATGTTATACATCCAATCACATAGTTCCTTCAAACATGCCAAATAATATTTGTCTATGTTCTCCTCAAAATGACATTCATATTAATAAGCATGGTTACCAATCTGTTTATTACTCATGTAACACAATTCTTCCTTCCAGATTTTTGGTTGACTCCGCAGAACATATTAAGATGCATTTCAAAACTGAAGGTATATTTCGGAAATCTGGATCAGTCAGCAGGCAAAAGGAACTCAAGGTAAAATTATGGCTTTGCTCAAAATCTTGCAGTGAAATGCTTTGTTCTTTTGGTACTTATGTTTATTATTCATGATGTGATCAGGAATCACTGGCTTAGTCCACGTCTATATGATTTTATTTGAAGTTTCCTCCAATAATCACTGCTTATTGGGCTGTGTATTGGTGAGTAAATTACATTGCAATACAGCTATCCATATTGAGGTACATATTGCAATACTAATTAACATCAGTTGTAAATGTAAGTCATTAACCATAGAGATAATCACAAAACATGTTAATTATTTTACCCATTACACCAGTACTTTAAAAATATGGCAATATGTATGGTTTGAAAAGTGTTTTGCTGTATACAGTAATACTGTGCAGTCCTAACTGCTTACGTCTGAGTTTGCTGTTGATTGTGATATTTCTGTGGAGCTGACTAATGATCACTTTTGAAATGTTACATTTTCAGCATCAAATTGAAGAAGGTGTTAATATGGATGTATCCAGCATTTATGACCTGACCACCCTCATCAAACAGTTTTTTCGCGAGCTGCCCGAGCCCCTGTTCACAAGCCTGTATCATGACACCTTCATCAAATGCTACCAGCTTGATGACACGAAGGCAGCCAGTGAAGCTATCCATGCTCTGTGCCTCCTCCTCCCAGCAGAACATCTTAGCACCCTGCGCTTCATCATGCAGCTTCTTAGCTTCATCGCTTCCCACTCGGATGATAACAAGATGGACGCTGCCAACCTCGCTGTTGTTCTCGCCCCCAACATCATGCATGTCAACAGCAAAAGTGAGAAGATGAATTCAACTGAGGAGAAGCTGTTGCAGATTCAAACAGCCATTGTGGAACTACTTATAAAGGAAGCGGAGAAAGTGGGAATGGTTTCATCAAGCCTGTACCAGCGAACCACTCTCATGACCGAGTGTTTTGGGGTAGCGACAGATGATGAGTTGGATGCTAGTGATGACAATACGTTAGAGGATTCTAAGGATATGAAGAAAAAGAAGAAACGGAAAAGGAGCGGTTCGTTGCAAGGTAACAAAGCACAAAGAGAATGATTTGTCACAAGAGTAAGTGAGTGAGTTTAGTTTTACGCCACACTCCGCAATATTCCAGCTATATGGCGGCGGTCTGTAAAAAATCCAGTCTGGACCAGACAATCCAGTAATCAACAGTATGAGCATTGGTCTGCTCAATTGGGAACCATGACATGTGTCAACCAGGTAAGGAAGCCTGACCACCCGATCCCATTAGTCACCTCTTACGACAAGCATGTGTTACTGAAGATCAATATTCTAACCCAGACCTTCACGGGTATTTGTCACAAGAAGACTATAAATATCTTTGATAAAAAGTTCTAGAACTAAGCCTGCTAATCAAATTTAACTTTATTGTACATTGAATTTTTTTTAGCATATCCAGGTAAACAACCTTGTAACTATATCTTCTGTAACCTTCTCATTAGATAAATAAGCCTAATAACTACTGTTCCCTGAAGACGGTTTGTGATGTCTAATGTAAATTGTGGAATGTGAAGCTGTCAAAGAATTTTGGTTAACATCCTGGTAGGAAATAAATCAGACTGGCTATACAATTACAAATATCATGAGGCATGTTTCTTCCATAATACAGTGCCTGTTATTAGTATTGGGAATAGACTGACAAACGGATCATTCATTTAGATATGAGCCTCATGTTACTGTTTTTCAAAATTAAAGATCACAGGGCTCGACATTCATGCTATCCCACTGGCCCGGGGTCTAGCAAAATGTTGACAGGACCAGTGCAACTTTGATAAGTGCTATCCCGACGGTCTAGTAGATATTTAAGGCTGTCAATAAGAGTCCCCTAGCAGGACCAGTAAGACTCTGTAAGGACCAGTGATATTTAAAAGTTACTGGTCCTATGGTCTTGTTCGGGAATTTGGGTGAATGTCAAGCCCTGGATCAGTACAACTGGATCACACTGAATAAACAAGTACATGTACTCTAATACTGACTACAGTTCAGGGCCCCGTTCCTCAAGGAGATCGTAGCGCTACGACAGTCGTAAGTCTATGTTAAAGTATGGGAGTTACGACTGTCGTAGCGCTACAATCGCTTTGAGGAACAGGCCTGTAGGTTTTGCAAAAGAGTCGCTAGCCTTGCATCTCCTCACTGTTTTCTACAAGTACTAAGGAGAAAGTAGTGAAACTTTTTCAAACTAAAATTTCTCAGAACTTTAAAATTTCAACTTGTTTGTGGTTATGGAAAACTGAGTTTGGTTGTTTGAGGGACCTGTCAATCTTCGATTATTTCAATAAATTGGAACACCAGTGCCTGTCATCAAAACGTTTTACTGAAGTGAACTGTTATGCATCGTGTGTTGTAGGCATTGTCAGCTCTATAGCTAATGGTCTGGCAAAGTTAAGGAGGAGCACAGATGGCAAGAATGGAAACTCAAGTCAGAATATCACGACTGCCTCCAATGAAAGTGCTCAGTCCCTCTCCGGATCACTCGAACAGCCCCACTACCCAACAACGACACCTGTCGTCATACGCAAAAGCAAAGCCTCCGGCGAGGTCATTCCCTTTTCAGCATCTAAAAAGTAAGATTTTTTAGTTGTACTTGATGTGCTTTTTCTGTGTTAGAGACATGAGGTGTATTTTGTCATAGCTACACCTACATGAGTATCTCGGTATTGCTGCTGAAGATGTTAACAAATAATGATGTTTTTCTTTCACATTTCCTTCAAACTACAAGAACAATTTTGTTAATATTCTTTTCTTGCAAAGCTACACATTCTCACTTCTATATTGTCCTGTATGCAATATATGTTGTTTCTCTTCTCCAGGAAGGCTATTCTGCAGCACCTCCCCCAGGGTTCTGCACTGGGACACACTCCCTTCACCCCTGCCTCCGCTATCAGGAAGATGGATCTAAATGGTATTCACATCTTCTTGACACATCCGTATCCTGTTTTGAAACAGTTTTATTATTTGTGCAAGTGTTGGCTGCACTTGGAGTTCAATTACATCATATATCAGGCAATGTTGCCTCCATGTGGCTGAACATGTTACTGGTTCTGGTGACTGCAATAGTTGCAGTGCTAACTGCATTTTCCAAATTCCTTAGTTACAAACATGGAGCAGTTGTGTTTATTGAATATGGTGATAATCCATTGAAATTATGAGGTATAATACACATGCAAATCCAACCAGATTGTAGCTTAATTCAGGCTAGTTATTTATGTAAATAGCTGTATTTGCTTAGAAAACAACTAGTCCCTCTTGATTTTTACAATGATCTTTGATGATGAATGGAAATTTAGTATTCCCTTTAGTTGAAGCATACTGAGACAGGAACACCATTAGCCTGGTCAATGGATCAGTGTATACATTATTTTCCCTGCAGTACAAAACCCAAGCTGCCTTTAAGGCGATAGAATCTTAAGTATCACATTTCCATCTCATCCTACCAAGTATCCATTCACTACTAAACAGAGACTATGGAATAGGGCATAAGCCTCTCAGGAGTGAAGCTGCAAAACATGGTCAACCATCTGACTCCAGTCCTTGGTCAGCATTGTTTACCTTGGCCCAGTTTTGATCTGTGCACTATGAACAGGACTGTGACACCCAGTGTAATGAAGGAAGTGCAATAAGCCAGTGTGAAAATACTGGCTCAAGCAGTGACCAGATCACATAAAGGGAGACAACTGCAATGTGTATCAGCAAAAATTGCTTGTGTAGTGACATGACTGGTTCCAGCCTCTCTCTTGTCAATCCAAGACTTGTAAAAATCAAGGGCTTGTTATTTTTTCCCCCAAATCTAATAGTTACCAAAAAGGCATCTAGTTTGGGATGTTGACTAGTTCAGTTTTGCTCAAGGTGTCCCTCGTTTCCATGTCAAAGGTGGTTTTGTTCATTTCAGATCCAAGGAAAGGTGGAGTTATGGATACCCCCAGTCTGAGCTTTGGGGACAAGCAACATATGGCATATACAGCAACGCCATCTCACAACATCAAGACTCCACGGAAGAAACTCAACTTGTTCAGTCCCAGCAGCAGCAAGAAGAAGATGGCAAGGTGAGTCCATCACTAGCATCAGAACCAGCAGTATGAGTCAAGTTGTAATCAATTGATCTCATAGGGAGACTGTTTAAACAGCTGTAGATTATAACATAACAATGAATGGGATGGATTTAAAACTTCTTTATTATTTACAACATGAAAGTAGCCCAGAAATGTCATGTTGTAAATTCATACCATACATTATAACGTTGCCTTCCAACTTCTAAAAGACCACCTCCGTGGTGTAGTGGTTAGAGCGTCTGCCCAGAGAGCGGAAGGTTGCGGGTTCGATCCCCCGACCGCGTCATACCAAAAGACGTTAAAATATGGTACTTGTTGTTCCCTGCCTGGCGCTCGGCATTAATGGGTACAACAAGGACAGGTCGGCTCAGAGTCAGTATAATGTGTCTGAGTGGGGCATTCATGCTTCACTGCGGCATGGTATCTCAGTGGGCTAGCACTATAAAACCAGCTTCAGTCTAGGCTAGTACAAGCAGCCGCACATACACGCATGCACGTCGTCATATGAGCAAAATATTTTCAAGCACGACGTTAAACCCAATTTCACCTCACCTCCAACTTCTAAATGCCCATCAATCATCTGCAGATTATAAGCACTCACTATGGCCTTTTAAACTTTATAGGAACAAGAAGATTAATTGATGTTGACTTTATTCAACCATAAATAATCTGTTTTCAGGAGCCCATCTTTCTCCAATATTTCAACTGGATCTACCAAGAAAAGTGGACGGGGAAAGAACATCTTCAGAAGACTGAGTGGCAGCAAGGCTGATAAGGTGTGTACATTGTTAAAGATTTTAGTGTCTGTCCACATCAGTCAACACGATAGTGTTCATATACATCTCTGGGTGTTACAGGAAGTCTTAGATCTTCACATGACATAATGATTTTCTGAAAAGGTAACAGTCTTGTTGCATTGAGCCAAGCTTTGACCATTGTGAAGTTTCACTAAAGTGTATGATTAAGAGTTGTTTTAATGCTCAGATAATGCAAAGATATATTAACATTCATTGCATTGATTTTGTTCTCTTTTTCCCCCCAGTCATCTGCATCAGATTCCTCCTTGCATATTGGTGAACGTCTGGCCAGTCCCACCAAGAAAGATGCAGCCATGGATGCAACATCTATGAGGAGAAGTCAGTCCGAGTCAGACTCACCCATCTCGGCGCGCTGGCCCAGAATACAACCTACATGCCTGATATCTCTGTTGTTTCGAACATGGACATCAAGCAGACACTAAACGAAGGCTTCATTAATGAGTCTCATTTTGATCTGGACCACACAGATGCTGGGTCTGGCTTGCAGCGATCACACAGTCTATACAGGCCTGTGCATGCATCAGCGTCTGATCCAGTGGTTGCTGGGAACAACACAGGGGGCTCACATAAGAGATCGCTCTCTGCGGAAGGGATGAATCTTCGACGGGGACAGCCAAATACCATCAATAATGGCTTATTAAAGGGACAGCATAATCAGTTGAAGAAGTTGAGAAAAAGTTTTGACAAGTCTGATATCAGTGGTCCGATACCCATAATTGTACCAACAGTTTGTGATGGGAAAGAGTCTGAGCGGAGGTTGGAAGGGGAGAAGATACAGAAGGTTCCTCCTTTACCTCCACTGTCTGCCCCCGAAGCAGAACAGTAGTCTGATGAACGTTGTCCTTCCCCCGCCTGATGGCTTTAATGACACATTACAGCAGACCGGCTATGACTCCGATGAGTCTGAGGCAGGTTTCTCAACAATATCAGGTGATACTGTCATATACATACCCAAACAGTCATCATCCTCAACAAGCCTGCAGTCTAATAAGTCCCAGGGAAGCCATAGAGGACAGGGTAGAATGTCTGCTCAGACATCCAGGGAAAGTGTTAAGAAGGGTCTGCAGACTAGTAACAGCTCAGATAGTCTGTTGAGCTCAGCATCTGAGATGTCTGTTGAGAGCAACACCTCCAAGTTAGAAAGATGTCTGTCCACCGACAGTGGGAAAGGATCTTTGTTTGATGAGACGTTAACACAGCCTCCAGCTCAGGAGCCGAAGGACTCTCTTGATGTTGCCTTTGTTGCTGATGAGAGTATGCTTCTGGACACAACTGTTCTGAAGAAGTCAGAATGCATAGATTCAAGTATTGTGAAACCGTATGATAGTTCCCAACCACACCAGCCTATAGTAAAGAAGTCTCACTCGGCTCAGCAGCTAGCCCTTCCTCCAAGAACTGGAGTTGTACGTTCACAGAGCATGTATTCCCACCAAGAGGCTCGCAAACACAACATTAAACCTAACTTACTAATATCAGCTGAAACTCACAAGATCTTGTCACGAGCTGGTTACTTTCCTGATAAAGCTCCACAGCAAAGTGGCAAAGATTTCCGCCTTCCAGTCAAATCACCGCCGAGGTCCCATTCATTTAATATGTCTAGAAGAAATACTACGCTGGGTGATCAGTCCATGTTTGATGAATCCCACCTGTGTAGCAAAAGCATTCATGATATACAGGATGTTTCTCAAAGGTCAAGTTGTGAAACACCCAAGAGACACAATGTCAGTGACACATCACACAGACTGCACTCCTGTGACCTATCTGGTATCGGCAACAATGGTAGCCTACAACAAGGCACTCAAAAGATGGACCTTGTGCAAGAAAAAAACCAAATGCTGCCTCAAATAAAACGAGCTGATATGTCACTTCCAAAGCATGAAAGTGTTACACAGATGCAGGTTTCAAATGTTGGGAAAGTTGCAGAGAATGTGAAACAGTTTACTGATGTTGTGGAGAAACAGTTTCTGTCTGTTCCAAGATCTGCTCCCAAGCAGAGAGGCATGTCCCCGGTCAGGATACCAACAATATTTGCAAAGAACAATGACATGTCTGCGCGGTATCGAGACATAGCACAGGCAGCCATTGAGAGAGGCAGACTGGCTTCCGACGACAGGCTGTCAAATATCAGTGATGTGATTAGCCAATCCAGTGTAACAAATGACAGCCTCTCCTCCATCTCTACACTCACTGACTCCGAAACTGAAGACATGTTCAAACACCCAGCTCCTGTAACCATGGACACGGCAGTGAAATCTGATGTTTCCACAGATATCAGGAGTAAGATTTCCTTTGAAGGTCAGCAAGTTGACCTCAGCTGTTCTTTGCTGGACACCATCAATGACGTCTGCACCCCAAAGGTACAGAGGAAGTCGGGCACCAGTAGCAGATCTCCACTGAAAGACTGTGGTAACAATATGGGTGGTCTGAGCCCTACGAAACCAATGGAAATCACAGACCATGTTCTTCTTCGGACTGCAAGTGGGATGACGCCACGTCAGATACTGCGTTTTTCTCAACCTTCACACAGCACATCAAAGTCCACAAAGAGACTGAGTTCCCCTGGACAAACATTAAAGAATTCAAGATCTCCAAACAAACAGTCCTCTACATCGCTTCCTGATAACACAGCTCAAGCTATGTAATAATGGTGCAGATCTTGTTTGAGGGGCATAGGGAACAGATATCAAATGGTTATGCGTTTCTTGAACTCAAAAACAGTCAACTTTGGATGACATGAAGTTTACAGTAATCTATAGTCAATATAAGAAACTTCTAACACCATTTTAGTGGTAATAAGTATGATTTTACCAATAATTTCTGAAATGCTCAAATCTGATTCTTCAGCCAGAAGTTTAAATTGCAACAATCTCCTAATGATAACAAATTGCTTTTGATGGTCTTATGATGTTTGGTATTGAGGAATGTATTTTAACATTAAGAAATACAATTGTGATTTGTGAATAACGGGCATTATGTTTGTATCCCTATTGCTTTGCGACATACCTCCTGCTTCCATCCCTTGTGGGTCCTGTATCAACGATTAGTGCTTACACTGCCATACCCACATATGGCAGGTTCTTGTTTATTGTGTTTGTTGTGTCCATAGTTTTAATCCATGTGCAATGTGCAAGTGTTAAACCTCACTGGTGGGATCAAGTCATCAGGGAATACAATTTTATAAAATCTATAAATGTTTTCTTTGGCAGCCAGTTTTATCCTCTGAACATGTAAATATGCTTTTGGAAGATGCTTTAGGTTTATTGTTATCTGTACAGAGGAGTATAAAGTTGACGTAATATTTATTGATTTATATGTTATGATGTTCTTGATGATAGAAGTCAACAGATAACTTATATTTCATATGAAATGAAACTGTATCAGAGATGTACGATTGGTTGAAAGAAAACAAAAGAATGAAATATATTTTCTATCAGATCAAGCTAATCAGTGTTTCCTTGCAATATTAAACAGACATTACATACAACTGTTGATACAAAGGGGATATAATTCAGTCACCAAAGCAGTGTTCCAAATTAAGCATATAAATCAAGGGGTGCTTGTTATGAACTTGATGTTAAACATTAATCATTAGCGAGGCTCCAGGCTTTGGGAGCAAGTTTCAAGGAGCCCAAGTACTCTGCCTTCTTTTGAAGACTGCATGATCGCATTGATGTAACCATTGTCACTGTACTTGGCTTGATTGATGGTGGTGTTACAGATTAACTATAGTCACTTAAAACAAATATTGGATATTCTTTTACTTGTTTTGAGTAATTTATTTTGTGTGGGGGTATTTGTAAACTGTCATTTTAAACAGTATTTGCATTATTCTAGAGGTTCATTTTCCTTCCTGACTAAATCAAGACATACTGTAGTACTCAAGTTACCAGGCCTTCATTGTTTCTATAGTATTTCTCAATAGATATATTATATCATCCTTCACTTTAGCTAAGTCATAAAAGCTGACTTCCCCTGCAACCTTTACACAGTCAGCAAATAAACATCTCTCAGCCTTTGAGGGGTAGTGGGGTAGCCTAGTGGTTAAAGTGTTCGCTCTTCAAGACAAAGACCTGGGTTTGATTCCCTCATGGGCACAATGTGTGAAGTCTATTTCTGGTGTCCCCTATGTGTGAAGCCCATTTCTGGTGTCCCCTGCAGTGATATTGCTGGAATATTGCTGAAAGCGGCGTAAAACTAAACTCACTCACTCTGGTGTCCCCTGCTGTTATATTACTAAATGTGGCATAGAACGAAGCACGCTCACTCTTCACCAATGAATTAAATATGCAGTTTACCTTTAAGGAGGTCTCAGTATGTATTACTGAATTTTGCCAAAACTTTGCTCAACCTGTTTTTATTGTAAGTATTTGTATTATAACTGGGTGTTTTTTAAATCTGTTTTACCATTTTACCATTTTTGACAAACTGATTTCGCTTCTCAATTGTGTAAAATGAAATGTATGATGCACCTATTGCCTACATTTCGGACTAATTTGCTCACAGGTCACTGCATTTTCACTGACATGAATATACATGTATCTGTTGACCAATCTATAACTGTCGTGATTTGTTGTTTCATATCAGTAAACAAACCAAATATGTATTACAACATTTGTTTGCAAATAACAGTCATATATATGTGTACAAATTATACTACTTAGAAACATAACATGTATATCTTGAAACTATAGTTCAGCATGCAAATATATACCTTCCATAATAGTACAGAGTATTGTATCAAAGTGTATATGTTGGGGCTTTCAACAAAACGATTTGATTACCAAATCATTGCTTTTGGGGTGTCTGGTGTTAGCCACAGACAATCAGCAACATGTATGTATTGATTTGCAACAAGGCTGAATGTCATTAAGCTTGTCATGATTTTTATCATATTGGCACAAATAGTAATGTCCTTGCCATCATTTGCAACTAGCATATGGAAACGTGTAGTTTATACCTAGCTTGTACACAGATACTGACGACAGAACCATGCTTGAGGTATGCCTGTCGTTGCAACATACACGTCAGAATGATGCTTTTGTAAAATACTCAGATGTGATTTTGTCATTGGGTTGTGATATTACAATTATTTTGTTGAACATTTATTATATTCATGTATCCAAGCTAGAGGTAGATACAATGATTACGCATGTTTATTATTTAAGTAGGTGGCTTGTATTTGGATCACATCCATGTATATCAACTAGAGACAGAACGAAAGGAATAATTGTTGACTTTTATGCACCAACTTCAAAACAATATGTGATGTTTTGTAGACAGACCCTTGTTTCACAACAATAAACTAAGGCAGTCCTTAGTTCAAAACATTTGGCGGTGGGGTAGCCTCGTGGTTAAAGTGTTCGCTTGTCACGCCGAAGACCTGGGTTCGATTCCCCACAGGGCCCACAGGGGTCCAATGTGCGAAGCCCATTTCTGGTGTTCCCCCCATCGTAATATTGCTAAAAGCGGCATAAAACTCAGTCACTCTCTGAATTCTTTTGTTCAAAGAAACAACAGACAAGCCCCTTTACTCAACACACACATATCAATTTAAATATCCTGAATGTTACTTTGATAATTATCTCATTTGTAACAAACATGGAATATACATATTTTTTACCTGTACCATCACATATGAAAGACTATAAAACAAATAAACTTGGCCTGGTTGAAATAGTGTAAGTTACCTGTACAGGTACCTGTAACGTGATCCAGCAACCAAATCCAACTTGTTTCATCAATTACTCAACATGCAGTTTAAGTCAAAGCAGCAAGTTGGATTATTGTATCGGTTCAGCATACAGAGCATAATGTCACTTGCTGTATATTGCAGTCACTCTCCTCTTTGCCCTCCCCCAACCTTGTCTATTCCTTCCCCCATCTGTATCCTATCATATCAACTGGGACTGCAATCTTTGTATGAGTGTATGCAATAAAATATCATATTTGAAATTATTCTTTGTCTTCATTCTATAACATGTTATATTTGTGATAAAACTTTCTTAGTAATTTGGGTTGAGTCCAATCCGGGACTTTATTCTAATGGTGGAGCTTTTAAAACAGATGTGAAAAGACCTGTTTTGCTCACTGAGATGTTCGAAGCTAAATGATGCATAATCACACAATCCCTGAGAACCTTTTACACACTGAATATGGAATATCCTGTTTTCAGGCAAATGATTGCCACATTAAGACACACAATAGCTAAGATTCAATTATTTTAATAGTTAACATTGCACATTGATACAAGTCGCAATCACTATGAATACATGGGTGTAAAGCAGTTTTCTGATCCTAGTATACATACAAATACATTCTAAAGATATACTGAATTTGTGCAGTGATTTTGAACTGAAGAGGAACTAGTTGTCTAAAATAATAGTACTGGGCCCTTATTCTTGAAACGTTCTTAGCCCTAAGAATTCTTAACTTTGATCGTAGCCAATGTGTTAAGAATGGGCTTAAGAAGTTCGTAGGGCTACTGAATGTTTCGAGAATAGCTAGCCTGGTACATAAGCTACACAGCCATTCTTAGTCAAAATCAAATAATATCCAGCCATCAAACTGGTGCTTCGTACCTGGAATGATACAGAAACCATGACAACGCACAAAATGACAATATATACACATGAATATTTGGTGTTTATTTATGAAAATTTGAAATTTGTTTTTACCTCAACCTCTGTTCTTTTACGCAATTAACTGTTGTGATCAATACATATGTCGTATTATGAGTGCAAGTGGACATTAACATCACAGGTAATGACCAATACATGATTGCTTGGTCAAGCATTTATACAAATATAACAAAGTCGGTATTCAGTAACATAACAAGCAGTGTGTAGAGTTGTATCACTGAAACCAAAAATATTCAAGAGATTTACAAAAACCTCACACTTCAACAAACACAGATCCACAATTTTGCATTTGTCTTTGAATGAAGCAATGATTTTATGGCTGCTTTTGAAACAAGGATAAATTATCCACAATGACATTCAAGTTTCTCAACCCAAATACTGATAAACAAGTGACAACCATTTCCACTTGCAGGAAGGACATCTTTATCATGAACCATTAGGCATCAAGTGAGAGCCTAACATTTCAATGATAAATACAGTCTTGTATACTTTACAAAAACAAGTACCTATCATTGTTGGAACTCGTACTAGAACATGGAGCATAACTGTTGTGAATGAATCATAGGATGAGAATTAGAAGACTTTCCATCGTTAGAATATATCCCAATACAGTTACTGGTCACTGAGTCAGTAATGGGTGTTGATTAACTTTAAAGTCAAAGATTGGTTGGGTAATACAAGTTTTTGTAATCTTAATCCAAAGACAGTGTAATATTACACGAAAATAAGGCATCCGCAAGTCCCACACTGCCAACAGCAGTTCAAGATACACAAGCATAAAAACATATTCTTGTACACGCAGACCAAGGTGACAGGATGATACCACATTGCCTTCATGCTTCTCTTGCAACCTAGGCTGTATAATGATTGTAGACTAACGGAAACAAGAATTACATATTCCATGATGTTGATACCTCTGACTTATCATTTCATGGATACATCAACCAAATCCTAACACCAGTACTAACATAGTTATGTGAAAGAAAAGACTGGAACGTCCTAGAGGGAATGCCACGTTTCTACAGTTTCATTAAAATCGGATCTTAGGGTTCACAACCACTACACAAATGATTTGAGGACATCTCATTAAAGGCCTCAGGACCTTCCACATATCTTGGATGGCCTATCCTGACCAATGAAGTGACGAACAGCATGTCTACATCGGCCAATGAGAAAGCAGCTTTCCCGAGCTTTGTGGCACTAGTTTCAAAAGGCAACTTCTATCTCAGACTATGCTTTGAAAAATATCTTGACAAATGCCTCAATTAAAAATTTGAAAACTGAACTGAAAACATTCAGAATGTTGATAACCTTCTTAACATTATATGATAAGAAAACACATTCTTACTTTCACTTTTGCAATCTTGCAATGGTAGGATCAAATGAAAGTAGTCCTGGTACAACCTGTAATGGGATATCCTCAAATCTTTGTGTTGAAGTAGTAAGCACCAAGATCTGATATCAATGAGATTGCATGTTTCTACAGTGCTTGATACATCAACCGTGTTCTGTTCTGCAGTCAAGTTGATAACATAGGCTATGTTGTGACAGGCTAGAGTACCTAACATACACAAGTCTATTGGTTCACTCTAATGATGACAACATGAGCAGCTGTTTCAAAACTTTAGTCTGGCTCGTCTCTCGTATTTCTCCTGCTAAGAACATCTCATCCACAACGCTGTACACCTGAAGCAATAAAAACCAAAATTACACTTGGAACATGATGGATGGTGTGTGTGGTTAGTTTAAAGGCACAATGTCACACATTTTCAACAATATTTTGGCCTATATTATATATATTGGGGCATATACACTCACTTTAGCTTCCTATTGATGCAATAAAAGACTTCTTATCCCTTACGACTTGCCTGAAATCGATAATTGAAACTTCAAGGCGAACAGCTTCCAAACAGAGAACAGTTGCCATATATGGAATGTAAACGATTGCTCTGTACATTGAAAACTGTCGAACACGGTATTGTCGGTGTTTGCCGAAAAGGTTTCAATCACAAGCTCTGCGTAGGATATTCATAATTTTTTGTGGAATAAATAATATGGTAGCTTCCCTGAGGGCTGATAGTTAGTATTATTGAGAAATGCATTATTGATTTTTAGAGAAGTGCAGTGTGATATAGTGCCTTTTATGCAGCTTTATACAGTATTTCGGCTATATCACAGCACCCAGCTTAATGTGGGTGGAAAACCTGAAATGATGCTTGACTTGAACGTTTACCACTTTGGTGATGCCCACAAGCAAAGGTATTGTGCTGACAACACTAGAAACATACTAGGGGCAAGTCAAGATTCAAACCAATGATCAAAAGTTGTAGGCGTGCCCAAGGGACATAACTCTGTACAGTAAACATAGTGCCTGAGGAATGAACAAAAGGTTATTCTTCTGACATAATATTACATCCTGTACAAAGTAAGAACTGATTGCAATATTCAACTCACAATATTTACTGAAATTCCCCTACCTCATGTATAGCCTAGAATATCATAGATGACAAATATGGAATATGATTCGTGGAACTACTCATGGGTGGGGGACAAAGTGGACAACTGACCAAGGGAGGTGCTCATTTAAAATGTTGATGACAAAATAAGAGATTGAATGGGAGAGAACAAACTGTTAAGAATGGAATAAATCATATTTTTCTAAATGTTGTATAATACGACTGCAATAATGAAATGAATTGTATATACATACATACACCACAAATTATAGAAATGCTGGAATTTAAAAGCTAAATAGTGTACTGTATTTGCCAAAATAAGCTCAGAAAATTGACAAATGGGCAGCTTAATGAAGCCACACATAACCTAAATTTGACAGAGATTGACTGGTTAAGAAATGTCATTGAAACAAACATTTCCCCAATAGTTACCAGGCAAATATTTCCCCTTAAAAAATACTGTTTTCAGAGATAACCTGATATATACACACACAATATACAATCATTTAAAAGTCCAAGCTCAGTACAGGGTACTTATAAAGATGACACTGCTGTAGAAGCTGGTCCGAGCACTTACTCCACCAGGGTGCTTAACTTGGATATCACAAAATCACTGATCAGTTACTCCCAACCGTAATCCCACTTTCAGTCATGTATGTACTCACCTTATAAAAGTTAAAGACTAGATCGAGTTCACACACATTGTGGAAGAACTCATTGAGAACTTCTACAAAGTTGTGAATGGCCTCCAAACATGCCAGATTGTTGTCACTGACATCAACACAGATGCAGAAGTAGAGGCCAGCATACCGACGGTACACGATCTTGAAATTCCTAAACTAAAAAACAGATAAGAAACATGAGTTAGTATCGTTCCTTTTTTTGTAAGTGCTGGATCAAACTACATCTTTGCCTAGGTTTAGATAAAAGTAGGAGGTTGTAAAGTGTTATCCAAGGTTGAACTAGGATGTGTTGTGTAGAAGTCGAAGTTGAAAGGAAAGTGAGTATGAAAACCCTCGTCTCTGCCTGAAAGGTCTGAGCTGTTGCGATGCTGCTGTTCTGTTTGACTCCTACTCTTATAGACATTTTTATATAGAAAAATGACAAATAGCAAGCATACTCTTCAGCATGTGCCAAATCGCTATCCCTGCTGTGGAAATCAAGGTAATCAGACAAATTTCAATATATTGTTAGACTAATGCTAAATATCTAACTATATATAATTCTGATAGTAACAAATAAACCGATATAAATTGAATGGAGTCCCAGTCCGATGGAAAATTCAGAACTGAACCTGAGGGAATCTAGACTTGCTTTATTGAGGGCTAGGCAGTAGGGAAAATAATGTTCAGGTACTATGAGACAGACTATTAGATTGTTTGTTGAGTACAATGCAAACACGTGTCTCATATCTTTTTCAGAAATTATGTTACTGATGTGGGAAAGGAAACAAATAGAAAGCAAATTTATATGTCTTCCAGCTTCACTCACCTCTACAAAATTTGTGTGCTTTGCATCTCTTACTGTAACAACAGCATGGACTTCTTCTATGAGCTTCTGTTTTTCATCATCATCAAAGTGCATGTACCACTTTGCCAAGCGAGTTTTACCTGCTCTGTTCTGGATTAAAATAAACCTGATCTGTGGAGAGAAACAAAAATATATGTAATGATGTCCATACAGAGGGTTAATGCAGATGTAGCATACATAATATTTTGTGTGTTGAGATTCCATTCTTGGAGTTTCTGATTCGAGACTTGATACCTTATCCACATGACCACAACCCATACCTAAGCTTTCAAGGTAGGATGTTATCAGTAGGTTGACACCATGTCATGCTTAAGTACAGAATAGTTTTGTAGAAATTTCCAAACATGTGATGTCAGCACAGATTGTACATTTCTTTACTTCAATAAGTATAAAGTTATGTTATGACTGTCAATTCTGTTCAGGCTTAGTTTCTGTGTCACATCAAGGCTCATTGTGAATATACATCACTATTAGAAATGTGGAGGAGTGTACAAAATGTACAAACAATAACCTGAAAACATCCATTGCGATAGATGACAGGGGTGGAAATAACTTTGAAATTGCTAGTGTAATCCGGTACAGTGGCACATGTAAAATCACTTGCCCTGATAATTTTTCCACTATACCGGCCATTTTCTTGTTGATTTTTTAAATAAACAACATAATTAACATTGGAATATCAACTGGACACCAGTACGGTGTGATATACAAATTTGCTTGCCCGACAGAAAAAAACACTGGACTTGGGCGTCGGGCAATGGGTTATTTCCACCCCTGAGATGACAGAAGAAATTGTGACAAACACTACCAATGGTTAACAGTGAAAGACACTTTTTCTAAAGGAAACATAAACAACAATATTAACTTGAGCAGAAGCATAATCATGTTATCTATCACTACCCATATACATTGTAATAATAATTACACATTGCTTGAGTCCATGACTGTTTAGGATACATAATTTATACACAAGAAAGGGACATGTTTATTTGTGGGCCAGACGTGTTTAATTGTTTGCTACCATTTTGGAGACATATACAGCTATTGGTATTCACCACATAAAATATTACTTGATTACATTATCACGAATATAGTTTATTATGAAGTTATACTGGACGATCCACTGCAAGATGTGTGTTGGATGTGATGGTCGAATAACGTAGTTTTTCCAAACAAATCAGTGCATTTAACCCGAAGCGTATATCCCAAACACTATGAAGTATGAACATGTAAGGTTTTCATCATGATCTGTAATTAGTGTAGCTTAATTTATGGATCACATTTACAAAACTCACCATTTTGACAGTGTAACCGGCAGTGACTCCTCCCACAACGGAGCATGCGCGCTGAACGGGAACGTGTTTATTTCCGCTTCCGGACATTACAACGTGCTTGCAGCATGATAGAGTTGTTGTGATTGTTGTTTGACACTAACAGCACAACCAACAGCATGAGCAGGATTGATGAATTGCGAACACGTGTTCAGTTGAACGAACATGGTGTTGACAATGTAATGTATATCATTTCTTGAATTGTATTCCTGCTAACATTAAACAGTACACTGGTGCCGCTGGTGGCATGTCGCTTCAACTTTCAAGCACGTTTTGAATATATCATGATCATGTGAATACTCTTTGGCACATAATACCAACGTGATCAGATGTTTGAAATAAAATAATGTCAGATTTAAGCAACTCTGAACTGTATTATCATGGTGAATGATTGAGCTACTTATAGCTACTTTTACTTGGGTTTAAACACTCCTTCAAACAGTGGCGAATGTGTATGATGCTGACAAACATGGCAAAAGAATCAAGCATAACAAGATTCAAACCAACAATCCAAGATTTCAATGCACGTCTCTGTGCACTGTGAATTGCAATGCCCCCAATATATTCCTATTTGATTAGTGTTGGGAATTGGTTAAAATCTCATAACTGATGATTGGTTCATTACAACCGATCAATCAGATGCTTGATTGGCATTTTAGAAGGGTTATAGCTAAAACGGCACCACAGCAGAACAGCACCAAAATCGTGTGGCGAAAACGGCACCGTATTGGCGAAAACGGCTACTGATTTCTGAGCTAAAACGGCACCATATACAAAACAAAGTATGATGTTGACTTTTATGTTTTAGTTGGTTTAACTATAACATTAGAATCAACACATCCGGCAGGAAGTTTTCATCTAACTAGGGTAGCTTGGTTTTGTCGTCCACCAGGCTTGTCAGGGTTGATGTTTTTGTTGAGCTTCCTCAACGATGCTGGCGCCTGACTTGTATATGTTCTTCCTGACTGTCTTATCTCATACAACACAGTGGTGAGGCATTGTGATGAATGATATGTAATGTGTACATTCTTGCGTTTTAAATACAGTTTCATTTTGACACTGAGTTTTGGCGATTTGAGTTGAGAAAATGTACTTAAAACATCAAAGGTTGTGATGTTTTCACGCTAAAGGACAAGGTATGATAAGGGTGGTTTTTGGCCCATAAACAGAATTGGCTGAACACATGTTATTTGTTTAGAGACAAGATGGCTTTGCATAAAAAAGCTATTTTTTAAATGATCTGAGGCCATAATTTCAATGCAGAGGGGCCCAAAATGGGTTTTATCAGTTCCCATGAAAAATTGTGCGGTGAAAAAATTGGGATGGGTCATGCTTTTGCTCACTCTTTTTTATCACTCTGAAAGTATGAAAATGTAGGTTTTTCGAAGATATTGTAAAATAGGTAAACTTTGAGGTCTTCAAAGAGGAAAAAACCCAGCACTAAAACATAAAAAAAGGCATATGGAGGTAATTTCAACAATTTATTTAGCATTTGTTATGCTAAAATTATCATGTTGTAGAACTTTGAATATCATGAAATGTTGTGGGCCAATAAGGGCCTTTATCATACCTTGTCCTTTACAGGCTTTTCCACTCACTCTCGGCACAGTAGATGTTTTGACTATCGAAACATTCTACAAGCCGATTATCAGTCTGACTCATTCATTATCTAAACATACTGGAATCCGATTATCAGCTAACACAAACTTTCCAATCACTGTCGGCAGAGTAGACGGCTTCCAAAATTCTGTATTCAGATTATCTAATGACAAATAAGATGTTCCCAATAATTAGGATTTTATTTGGTGCCGTTTTCACCATAAGATTTGTAGCCGTTTTGGTCAAGTCGAGGTTCCGTTATGTCCAAATGGTGCCGTTTTCGCCTGGTGCCGTTTTGCTGTGGTTCCGTTTTAGCCTGCACCCTTTTAGAAGATGATATTTGATGAACATAGAGATTTTTTCTGGGTTACATCTTCTTTTTATTCTCGAGTACAAGCCCTGAAACGTTGTACTCGAGAATAAAAAGAAGATGTAACCCAGAAAAAATCTCTATGTTCAACCGATCAATCATCGAAAATAATTGGTTAGCGTCATTTATGAAATTTGTTAATGTACAAAAAAATAAGGAAAAAAACATGTAGTTCTTTGGGGTTGGGGGAAAATATCACATCTTTAAAGGATGACTAGTATGTTAGGAACATAAATTTCTTAGAGTCTTTAAGATAAATTCAATCATGACTTGGAACGAGCTTGTAGTGCTTATGAATGTAACAGACAAAACCAACCTAGTGAAAATTACTGTTAATGAAAACAAGTGTTACAGAATTGTTTGTGTTCGATTATGAGAAAACATGATGGATTGCTTGGTCATTTAGTCACTGCGACCAATCTTCTATTATTTCAATTAATCGGACCACCACTATATTTGATACACTACCATCTTGTCAGTTATGAGGATGAGTTAGGTTAATATGTTTTGACATTTTCGATAAATTACAAATTTCTTTTGATGCAGTTAGCAAATAATTGCACAACACAAGGAAGTGTATAACTTGTACCAGTAGCCCATATACATCATCAATAAAACAGTTTGTGTTATCACAATGGTGAAACTTGTGTTGAGATTTTATGGACTGGTTATGTACAGTCTAAGTAAACTGAGGCTCACTTACACTGATATACTGAGTCTAACAAACTCAGTAACTACTACTAAAAGGCCGCGTCAGCTAGCCTTTTGAATTGACCAATCAGAACACAGCTTACAATTTGCGAAAGTTAACCGTTTGAACTTTTACCATGAAAATGTTTGTACTCGAACGATTCCAATGCTATTTTCCGCACAATTGCTTCCAAGTGATGCACACTGAGGATGACAATATTTACAACATTGAGTAAACAGTCGCTGGAAAGAGCGTTTTTGTCAATATTCCAGGATGTCATCTTGCGGAAATATAAGTAATAGTAACAATGTCCTCAGAAACCACTAAGCGTATATACTGCAGGTCAAATATCTGTGTTTTTTTGCGCGATTTTCGTTTGTTGAGAAATCAGTGTCAGTGACCAGGAAAGATAAAATACATTTTGTAAGTCCTGCTGAACCCTAAATAGTAGCCATTGTCTGATTGGTTAAGCCATCTCGCATTGATGGGACGGTCATCGGTCTCTCAACGGTTAGTTGACGTGACCTAGGGTTTGTTAGACTCAGTACAGCAGTGTAACGAATAATACTGAGCCTAAGTTTACTAAGACTGGGTTATGTATGATCTAACACTGATGCTTCACCTTTGTGTCAACTAGGTGTGTGTGTGCATGATTGTAGGTACACAGCACCGACTTCCCTGGGAACTATGCAGGGTATGATGATACATGGAGCCACAGCAAGTTTAAAAAGGTAATTTATAAACCAAACAACCAGAAAGCAATAAAGTACATTATGTATAACATGGGTGTCTTGTAACATGGGTGTGTGTGGGGGGGGGATGGGGTGTGTGTGTCATCCATGGATCCAAAGACCCGTGTTATGGTGAGGGATGACTGTACCTTGAAAAATCGCTTGACTAACCATACTGATAAAGTTTGGAATGATTTGTTAGTCTTACTGCAAGTGACACTACCTGTGAAGTAAAGGACATGTTTACAGAGCTTTTGCCATGTTAGAGTGGCATTTTGTATGTTGTTTCTATGCATTGATCAAGGTCTGTACCTTGTTATGTTTTACTGAATTATCTCTCAGTTTTCTCGTCATCTGCTTTACATATCTGTTCACAGAAATTCCGGATTGATGTTGTGAAATTGGAAGGTGATGTTTTGGAGTTTGATATGGTTGGTATTGATGCTGCCATTGCAAATGCCTTCCGAAGAATTTTACTTGCTGAGGTAAAGTATTGTTGAACAAATGGTTCAAGTCATGTAGCTGACAATAAACTCCTAAGTCACTAGAAATGTAATGATTGATCAAACAATGAAAGGAAATCCTATTTGTAGGATGGTTTATGCGTATCTGGCTGTAATAGTACTTATGTGTTTTGGGTTGTTGTTTTATGCTGAACTCACCTCTTACAAGCATAGTTTCATGAAAACCAATTCTAAGCCTGATTATCACAGGTTGCAATACTATTGCAAAAGCTGGACCATTATCAGAGTATCATCTATATTGCAAGCTTCTTAAATTGATTTTATTCATGTCAAATGAACCGACAATGTTTGTGGATCAATAATATAGTGTGTTGACTTTGATTCTAGAACATTTCATCTTGTCTTTCCAGGTACCTACAATGGCAATAGAGAAGGTGTTTGTGTATAACAACACATCCATCATCCAAGACGAGGTACTGGCACACAGACTCGGACTCATCCCCATACAGGCGGATCCCAAGGCTGTTTGAATACCGACAAGAAGGTCAGACTTGCTTCAAAGATAAATGCCGTATATGACATACTATAAGTCGGATCTGACTATAAGTCGGGCCCCTTTATCAACCCTCTAAATTCTTGCTAAAACCATGTAACTCAACTATAAGTCGTCCCCTTTCCCCGTATGTATCAGTATTGGGTAGATCAACGTCGTAACACTATAACATGACGAACGTAAACATTGGAATTCGATGGTAAGTGTTGAAGTTGTAAACAAATGTTTGTTTTGATATTTACTGTTTCATACTAAGGGAACACTTTGTATATGGCATAATAAAACATCCAATAAAGTGTTGACTTACTGTGTTTATTATCTTTTGTAAAAGCATGTTCTTTTGCCAGATTGGTGAATGGAAAGTTCAAGACACCTGAAACTTGTTTACTTCGAGAGCATATTTCTGATTGGCTAATGATAAAATGAAAGGCCGATCAACAGAAGCCTTACATAACCAAGAAAGGTTGTGTTTGTGTGAAATGTTTTTCGACTTTGTTTAAAAAGTGAGCGTATGTGTAAAGACCAACTATCATTGAAAACACATCATATAAATGTTACTACATTCATATATGTTTGATGTGAAAATTATGATGGGTAAATATTTCTGTAACTGTGCTTCAAAATGATATTTTTGTATCAAAAACTTTTCAGTTGGGAACATGCATTGAGCGAACGCTACTGTACTGATTCATTTACCGAGACTGATCAAGTGACACAGATATTTGACTTCGATGTAATTTTTTGATATATGATCTGTAGTATTTATTAAACTATTAACAGTATTTTTCAAAACCATCACACAAAACTGCAACAGAATGCAAAGAAGTTTACTTTACGTGAAACTTTCTTTCAAGTCGTGTCACGTGGCCCAACTTTATTGATCGATAACAAAGTAAGTAAATAGTTGTGATCAAAATATCTGATTAAATTTAATTTAACGTTTATATTATGAAATATATTTTACAAAAGACAAACAACAAAATTTATGTTTTATTTGTCCCACAATGTCATTTACCATTGAAACCGTTGTCAGTACATATATGCTTCCTGCTTCCGTTGTAAACATCGCCAGTTGAGTTCGCTGGTCTGGCAGATTCACTCACCTGACCTCTGGAATTTTTGGGGTAGATTAATTAACTCAGTTATAAGTCGGGTCCGATTTTTTAGCTCCTTTTTCTGGTATCAAATTTACGACTTATAGTTGGTCATATACGGTGTGTTAAATTAGATGTGTTTTTTCGGATTTGGTCCGTAATTGTTGAAAGCTGTATCACATGTTCCTGCTACTGTAGTATTTTAGTGTATTTGTTTATGTAGTTGCGTTCCTATCTCTAGAGTTGTCTCCCTTAGACACAAGGATCTACTGTGTTGATTGTTGGTTTTTGTTAACTATTGTGAGTACACATGGGTTTCACAATGATGGTAAGGTCAATGCTTCTCATTGTCACTTTGGGCTTTCCAAATCATTGTTAGGTCGGAAATGGCTGAAATTTAGTTGGGGAGTGAAACTACCCTAATTTTGGGTTAGAATTTGTGCCCAGTGACCTAATCTTGTCATATGAGAATAAACAGAGGCAATCAATTTGATTGGGTGCTCAGGTTTGGTGACTTGGTTTATAGTGTCATTGTACCCCAACAATGTGGGTTGTTGTTGACTATATCATCATGGAAATGTGTGGTCTAACCATGGTTATTGTCAGGATGTAGCTTGAATATCTCTATGTATGGCATCCTTCCCAACTTTAGGTTTGACTGATCGTATCCCACAATGAGTGAAATAAAACCCCACTTACTAATTGAGAGTGGAAGGTCGCGGGTTCGATCCCCGCTCGCGTCATGCCAAAAGACGTTAAAATATGGTACTTGTTGGTCCCTGCCTGGCGCTCGGCATTATAGGGTACAACAAGGACTGGTCGGCTCAGAGTCAGTATAATGTGTCTGAGTGGGGTATTCATGCTTCACTGCGGCATGGTATCTCAGTGGGCTAGCACTATAAAACCAGCTTCAGTCTGGGCTAGTACAAGCAGCCGCATATACACATACACACGCACGCATGCACGTCGTCATATGAGTGAAATATTCTCAAGCACGACGATATAACCAATTTCACTTCACCTCACCACTTACTAATTCACTCACTTACCCAGCACCCCCTGCCCGCAAGGGCGTAATGCAACCAGCCACTGATGGAGTTGTTGTTACAGGTGAGATGGAGGGCTCGGCCCAGGACACAGTGGAGTTCCAGCTGAAGGTCAAGTGTGCCCGGAAGCCCCAGAGCAAGGACGCCACCGACCCGGACGAGATGTACAAGGACCACAAAGGTACATCATGAACACCAAATACCAGAGCCCACCTGGTACTGAGACTGTTTTAAGTATGTGTTAAACGTATGGCACTTACAGTTACAATGGCAATGGCTTTACCACTGAGATGGAACTTAGTGGAAGTAATAAACATAAACTAATAGTGTAGTAGGTTTGTGTTGCCTGCAATTAAAGGACCCAGTCAGAGGGGTCCATTACCTTTCTAATAGAAGCACAGTCATGACTGATTTTGTTAAATCAAAGCTACCAGTTTGGTAAAACAACACCAGTTACACAATGAAGCATGGCAGCCACCTGGAAATTGGTTCCACATTTATAGCCAGTGTCATTGCACAGTAGAAGGTTTATTGATTTCCTAACAAGTTAAAGTATCAAATAGCTGTGTAAAGTGATTAGGATTTGCAAGTTATGAGGAGTCACTTCTCAAAAAGAAAGGATTGGATGTGTCAAAAGTATCCAGTATGTCCGATGGTTGTAGTCAACTCAGTCAAGAATCTCCCTTGTTGCTGTAGAAAGTGTGATTCATGCATGTCTATCATTCTCATGGATCAATGTTTTGGTCCTGGATAATATAATGAAAAGCGTCATTGATCAAGGGGGGAATTTTGCTATATTTCGCATGTAGGAATGTATGAGTTATGTTGCTTTTAGCAGTATTTTAGTAATGTCACAGCAGGGGACCCCTGAAATGGGTAAACACATTGATCATGTGGGGAATTGAACTCGGTCTTCAGTGAGACGAGTGAACACTTCAACCGCTGGGCTACCCCACCGCCATCCACAAGTATGATGTAGATTGATACTGACAGCTTGTGGCATGTTACATGTTGGTACTGTCCGTATTTGGTAATTGTTCCCCGCCGCAATGCAGAATGGGGGGACTATGTTTTCAGCAGCGTCCGTCCGTCCCGATTCTTGTTAACACGATATCTCATGAACTGTTGTACCCAATGTCTTCAAATTTGGTGACAGCCTACATTGGGAGATTACCCAGACACCAGTCGATTTTGGTGACCGTGACCTTATTTTCAAGGTCACCACGACACTTGACCACTTTTCAAACTGTTGTTAACGTGATATCTCATGCACTGTAGTATCCAATATCTTCAAATTTGGTGACAGTTTACATTGGAGTATTACGCAGACACCAGTCGACTTGGGTGACCTTGACCTTGTCTTCAAGGTCACCATGACACTTTGCACGCTTTTAATTCTTGTTAACGAGATATCTCATGGACTGTTGTACCCAATGTCTTCAAATTTGGGGACAGTTAACATTGGGGTATTACTCAGACACCAGTTTATTCTGGAGACCTTGACCTTATTTTCAAGGTCACCACGACACTTTGACCGCTTTTCAAACTTATTTAAACACGATATCTCATAAAACATTGCACCAAATTTTTTTCAAGTATGTTAACAGCCTACATTGGGTGATTATGCAGACACCAGTCATTTCAGGCATCTTGTATGTGACCCAAAAATAAAAAGTAGTAAATATAGATATTCCATTCTTTAGCGGCAGGGTACATTGCCATATCAGTGGCAAACACTTGTTCTACGTGCATTGGTACATCCTGTCGCTTGCCAGTTGTGGAATGAGCGGACATAAGTGTGAAATAGAGCTGCTAGGATGTTATGGTGATTGGCTCCAACCCCAGGTTATCATTGCTTGTGTCACCACGTTTATAAACCTAGTGGACCTGCATTACACAGGGTTATACCCCCACATTACTGTGACGCACACTTGTCTTACTGATATACTGTCCCAAGCAGCACTAACACCAACTCACTCACTAACTTGACTGTTTCAGTTACAACCGAGTACATGAAGTGGGTGCCTATAGGAGACCAGACCAACATTGTAAGTTAACTGGGACATCACCTAGAAACTTCTCTAGGCTAAACTTGACATACTTTTAATGAAATCAGAAAAATGTCTGAACAGAAAGAGATTTGTATGACATACACATATTGTCAAAAGTGTTTAAGATTAGAGTATCCTTCAAACTGGAATTGATCTGAATTTCTACTTAGTTTGTGTGAATACTGATTTGTACATTTTCTTGCAGTTCAAACCAGGAGATCTGAAGCCAGTGGTTGATGATATCCTGATAGCTAAACTCCGGCCAGGCCAGGTGAGTGGAGGGAAATTTGTCCTTTTTTCCTTACATTGTCTCCGACAGCAGTGGTCTCCCTTTGTTTGCTGTTGTGTTAGGGACTGTTCATAATTTAAGGCTGGGGAGATGATGATGATTGTTATGGAAAGGCATGTACAATGTGAATGACTACACACACACACACACCCTTTAAAATGTATGTACAAAGTACCTGCATGTCATGTACAAAAATCAATGACACCCCCCCTTCCCATAATTTTTAAGGATATAATTTCAGTTTTTATGTACAAAATTGCTGACCCCCTAGTTCATGTGTACAAAATTCATGCCCCCACATCCCTAGAACAAAATGGGTGCCCCAAAAATATAAAAAAATAATTCATTAATTAAAAACACTAAATAAAAAAATGAAATAGGATAAAATAAAAATAAAAAAATAAAATAGCTAAAATAAAATCGTCATCAAACCCCCTAGCCATGAATTATGAACGGTCCCTTAGTGCCCTCAAGACAGTGTGTAAGAGTATGTATTGATGTTTCCAGGAGCTCGACCTCAAGTTACATTGTGTAAAGGGTATTGGGAAGGACCATGCCAAGTTCTCACCTGTGGGTAAGTAAATGATACCATACAGTTATGATAGTGTCCATCCCGAGAGGGGTGTTATACAGCGTGTGATGGCTAGTGTGTGTAACCAGTAGTGATATCAGTTGTCATAGCTGTGATATTTTGCAATGAAATTTTATGTTCACTGTCCCGAGCTTTAGTGAGGGACTTGAACATTAATTTCCCGAGCTTTAGCAAGGGAACATATTTCCCGAGGGACATATTTCCTGTAATCACTCGTACCTCATGGGTTATTCTTTTTATTACCCATTCTGTAATTAAACCGAGAAACCAGTACTTATGAACTCAAAGCCACACCTCGTTATGTGTTTACAACATAATCAGCTGATCCGTATTAATGCGCAGAGGAAACCAAACAGCTCATGCCTAATGGAATCGCATACGAACCCCAATATAGTACTGTAGAAAACGGTATGAAAAACAACACAATTCATCAGTTTCCAAATTCGTTTCATGACAATTTTATTACCCACACCCCCTTGTAAAGATTAAGTTTATTTTTAACAAGTATAATCGCATATTTAATATTAAGTCATAGATCGCAAATGTGTAGCCTAGATCTACTCGTGACAGAAAGTGGGTGGCTGTGGTTGGATACAAAACAGCAAAAACCTGTCAATTTGTTTCAACGTTAACTGATACAACAGTGAAAATCTGCAAGAGAACAATAAAACGCAGGAATGGTGAACGTTTTCTAAGAAGACAGTTCACAATTATTAACATTTGTCAACATTTTGACCTAGTTTTGGCTCGCGTCAGTGTCCTTGTTTGGAACGATAACTCTAACTTTAGCCCGAGTCCGAGTCGACAACAGGCAAAATACGCCTTTTCGGTGCAGGTGGTTGGTTGAAAGAAGAATCATTTGAAATAGTGAAGTTGAATACTCCACCGTAAATTGGACCAGAAAAAAGAGTATGAACAGCTTGGATATCATTGGAAACTGAATTCACCTGGGACATGACTGATTGAGACTGATTCGACTGAAGCTTGGGTGCATTTTGTAGGCACGGGAGAGACAGGCCTGTGTCATGTGGTGTGGAATCACAGTTGGGCGATAAAAGTCTGTTGATGTTTTGGTGTTGTTTTTCATCCATTGTGGAATAACTGTTGATGGATTGAACGTTTTTGTGCCCCAACACTTGCATGATCTGGTGAGCTGGAACACCTTTGTCAGACAAAGTTTGAATCATGCGTTTCCTGGCGCTATAGTTTGTCAACCGTTTGTTATTAGAAAGCCCTGCTTTACTTGCCATTGTTTTCATCAGTGATCCCAGTTTATTTCTGCCAACCGTTTGACGTTTAAACCAAGTATTCCCGGTTCGTACCGCAAACTGGGTGTTTGTTGCCAAATAGAATGGATGATCATCATTGGAGAAGTTTAGTGGTCTCAAGTCACGGTACGACTTGTTAACAGCGACTGGAAAACACAGATTCCCAGGTTGTGCCCATGCTTTAGGAGCAAGATCGCGAGACTGGTCACCCTGACGGGTTTTTGACTTCCGTTCAATATACTGGAGATATTCTCGGTTCTCTGAATCAACGTTTAGTGTTACATCACCCCATTGCATACGCCTGTGCGGGGTCGCCGATCTCCACCATAATGTGTTTAAAATGGAATCTGGCGTGCTGGTGCCTAGTTGGCCACATTCACTGAGTTTCTGTAATTCAGTGTCAGATACAGGATCAGCACGGAATGGTAGGTTTCCTTTACCTTGTTTTTTTAATGACTTGAGTTTTGATTTCAAAACCTCCCTCAGTTTCATGAAATGCATTGACTCGGCTAACACATGTGAGTACCCATTATGCTTCAAATAGCGTTCAACGCTACCCTTTATCCCCCCGGAGGGAAGACGGTTCGTACTCAGAACCATCAGATTTTCTTGCCGATATGAACAATTTACATAGGATAGTGTTCAGTTCACGGGGGGCAATGTCTTCAAGCTGTCTTGGATCATTAAGACTCTTGCGAAGAAATCTATAAACAAGATTCATGTCCATTTTGCCCTTTTTCATTGTGTTTTCGTTTTCGTTCGCAGCCAAGAAGTTATCAATGACATGGTCATAAACAGGAACAAACCGGTCAAAAGTTTTGTTTTCGATTGGGGGTTAAAAAAAATCATCTTGTAGCATGTCATTTATGACACTCTGGGGCAGGTGGGGACTTTGGTGAGAAGCCGACTCCCTCGAGATTGTTTCCGGCAACACTTTCAGTCTGTACCTTGCAACTTCCATTTCTCCATATTCCGTGTTTATCACATACACGTGAAAGGAATTTAGCGGTTGTGTTATTCTTGTTACACGACCAGTAATGTCTCCATCCACCTTGACCAGGTCATTGACTTTGATTGGCGTCAACTGGGTAGCCATGTTTGTTTACAAAGACGACTTTATGATTATCAATTTTAGACAATTTTTTATTACAAAACATGTTAAGTAGACGACGCTGTATTGTTAATGAAGTATGAAATAAAACATTAAATTAGCATCAAAATCAAAATCCTGTATGTTGATTTTGTTCAGTTTTTAAATCTCGAATAAGTGCGATTACATCACGGTCAATTTATCAATGAAGCAATGAAATTTTCTGAATGAACGTAGTGTGTGAAAGTAGTTCCGGCATCCAATGAAAATGTACAAATATACGATCAACCAATCAATGTCGAGAATCACTAAATTGCACACTGTGCAAATATCAAAAAGATATTACACGGGATCTCCTCACCCGTATGGGTAATAATGTTTTTTGTTTAACACTGCACTGGCAATATTCCTGTTATGTGATTGCATCTTGTAAATAATAAAGTCACGTCTACACAAACCAGTGTTTGATGTTATGAGCAACCTCTACAACATCAGGGTGTGATGACACAAGCATTAACTTGCATAGATTCCAGGGAAGCTCACCTGTGAAGGTCCGGGTTAGAATATTGGCCTTCAGTAACCCATGCTTGTCGTGTGGGGACCAACAGGATCTGGTGGTCAGGCTCGCTGACTTGGTTGACACATGTCATTGGTTCCCAATAGCGCAGATTGATGCTTATGCTGTTGCTTTTATGGATTGTCTGGTCCAGACTCGATTATTTACGGACCGCCGTCATATAGTTGTAATGTTGCTGAGTGTGGCATAAAACTAAACTCACTCACTCCAGGGAAGCTATTCTGACCTGGAATCCCCACATTGGCTGTCATACTGATGAACAGATCTGGCTTTAAGACAACATTTATCTTCAGCCACAGCCTCGTACCGCCTGCTGCCTGAGATCCGCCTGACTCGGCCTGTTGAGGGAGATTCAGCTGTGGAACTTCAGAAGTGCTTCTCCCCGGGGGTCATCGAGGTCGACAGTGTCCATGGTAGGTCACACAGACCAAGTCATACATTTGTGTTTCAAGCCTTGATTTAATTTTGAAAGTAAACATCTAAATAGTTATGTACAGAATGTTGAAATTCCAAATTGAACCACAAAGGATAACCCATTCTCTTCCCACAGAGGTTACTCGAGTTATATCTTCCCTTGTTACCTTTGTTCTAATACGGCCCTTTCATGGTGCGAGTGTTCAGGATTCGTGATTGGTTGCAATCAGATTTAGTTGTGCAATCCCAGCGATGTGGTTTCTGTATGCTTCAGGAAAACTAGTACCTATTCCCCTGCGCGATGCACAAACGTTTCTTCTAGACAGAACTCAGTCATGTAATGGCGGATCAATGGCGTCTCCATTGCCCTAGTTGACAACAGACAAGCTAGGCATTAAATGTCTTGTGTGTCACATCAATATGAGTCATCGGCAGAGAGGAGGGATATTTGTGGCCCCACTTTCTATTGCTAGTTTCTGATTTTCAGTTAAACATGAAATACTGAATCTATCCTTCGCATATTGATCAACTAACTTCATGGCGGCCGCCATGTTGGATCTAAGTCGATGTAGCACATGTACTAATGGATAGAAAAAGGAAGATAATTCGAGTTGCACTTTTTTGCTGCCACTTTTTTTTCTCGGATTTTACGAGAACCGGGAAATATGGCCATATTAGAACAGAGGTTACGTGGGTAGATATGACTTGAGTAACCTCTGTGGGAAGAGAAGGAGGATAACCAGGAAATCGGTACAGACAGAACTAACATCTGAAATCATGGAATGACAACAGAAGATCAAGGAATAATCAAGGAATTATATTGACACACAGTTTTAGGTTCGCATTAAAAAAAGAATGCAATCAGTCAAATAAGCTGAAGTAAGTAGAATGCTCATCAATGTTCAGAAACAGGCTTGTCTCCATTCTTGAATCCTGTGTAGTGTTAGATGTGTTTCAGGGTAGGTATCCAAGGGACTTGTTTGATGTTTTAGCGAGAAAAAATGTTGAAGTGTTAGAGGGAGGAGGGGTCAGATATAATAGGTTACAGGCCTTGCATCACTCTGCAATAATTGACCTCTGGTTGCTCTTCCTCAACAATAAATCTGCCATGATTGTTTACAACAAACAGGGGTATATGGCGCTAGTCACTTCCTGTTAAAATATGTCTCTTCAGCCCTTGATATTTTACCAGTGTTTCATCCATTTGCTTCCACTGCTCCCCTGGTATCAGCATCTAGTACACTGAGAATGGAAATATGACATGTGACATAACACACAACAGGGTGGTGATGTTCCCAGTGGTCACTTGATGGGTTTGAATCGCATATTTACATGTACTTTCACTGCAAAACAATTGCATGGAGATTTAATGATGTGGTGTTTGTCACTTCTCAGTAATAAGCCAACGGATAGAGTTTAATAATGTTTCAACATGGAATAAGTTTGTTTATTGTTACTACAACATTATGGCAGTGGCCTGTAGATAGTGAGAACGGACAAACCAGTGACCGATATTGTGAGCAGAATCCAGATGCTGGGAGACACAATCAGCCAATTCACCAAGTCCGACCATCTGATACTGTAGTCTGACTCTTTCTGTGAGGATAGATTGCTGGGGACCTATTTGATCATGATATCCTCGCTGGGTTCAGACTTATGTTAACTCACTTGCTCACTGAAGATCGCTGAAAGTTAGATACATTTTAGATAGTGTGGTCCGATTAATTGAAATAATCGAAGATTGGTCGCAATGACTAAACGACCAAGCAATCGATCATGTTTTCTCATAATCAAACACAAACAATTTTGGAACACTTGTTTGCATTAACAATATTTTTCACAAGGTTGGTTTTGTCTGTTATATTTCACAAGCACTACAAGCTCATTCCTTGTCATGATAGAATTATCCATTTAAATTTAGGTTCATACCATACTAGTCATCCTTTAAGATGTGAAATTTGTAAATGCGTTTTGTGCAATTTGAAAAAAACAACCCGGGAACGTTTTTTTCTATATTTTTGTGCATTAACAAACATTACCAGGAGAATTTGATAAATGATGCTAACCAATTATTTTCGATGATTGATCGGTTGTATTGAACCAATTATCAATTGTGAGATTTTAACCAATTCCCAACACTAATTTTACATACCCAGGGTCCAACATGAGAGACATCTTTGATATGTTGTTCTGTATTCTTCCGTATTCACTTGAACCAAGGTTTGCTTGCATCAGATATAGTTGTATTCACAGGTAAGAAGAAGGCTCGTGTAGCACATGCTCGCCGTGACACTGGCAGCAGGGAGGTCTTCAGACATGATCACCTCAAGGACTGTGTCCAGCTCAGCAAAGTCAGAGATCACTTCATCTGTAAGTAGATGCATCTGGTGTTTCCATGTTTTCATCTCACATAAGCTACAGAATTGCTCCATTATATTCCTGGATAATGATAAACTGTTGTGAACGTAACAGATAATGACAGTGTTTGGCCCTGTTTATACGGTGGTTCTACAAGGTTTGGCTGGTGTGTGTTGCAGATTGTGTAGAAAGTACTGGAGTGTTGCCGCCAGATGCGCTGGTTGTGGACTCCATCAAGGTTCTCATTGGAAAGTGTAATCGCTTCCTGGAGGAGATTTCGGATTCCTACGGTGGGGGGGATGCATCATGATGACAAGCCCTAGTGCCAGGTCCCTCTGATGATGAAAGTGGATGAGAGATTGTGTGTCTGTGTGTTGCTTCTGAACACCAGGAGCGTGAGGACATTTTTCCACTTAATGCTGGGTCTTTAAATATATGCTGGTCTCTCAGTGACACTGGGTCATATGTTCTGTCCAAACAATAGGAACCAGTTGGACCCATCATTTGATGAAATTAATTGTCCCTATCAAATAAATATACAGTGTACTCCCTTCAGTAAATAATACCTGATTCCTGCAAATGTTCTTTTTGTATGACTGGGATTTGGTAAGGTAATGATTTGCCATTTTGGCAGCACTGGACAGAATTAACGTCAGGACTCTTATAGGCCTTGTCAGTTAGAAGGAATATGGATAACAGAAGTTACAGAACAACCAGTTGTCACTATCCTACAAGAGATGCCAAACAAAAAACTGGTTCAGATGTCCATCGTCTTCATGTTTGATGATTTTGACAAGACCTGTAACAAATAAGGACCAACTTTATGGATGAAGTTACCTGTAACAATTACCTGTAACAAAGCCTGTTGGGGAAAATATGTTTGATGAAACCTGTTGACAAACATGGATTGACAGACAATTTATTGTATAAAACCTATTCCCAAACACAGATTGGCAAGATATCAAATAAAACCTAGCCATCAGACACAACCTGTTCACAAATGCGATAGACAAAGTGTGCAGGTTACACTTAAAGGATAAAGTCGGTGTGTTTGTGTATCAACTTGGCTCAAGGTGCTTTTACTGAAAAGGAATACATTTCACTGACTGATGATAAGATTGTTGTGTAATGGTTGAGTTTCTTTTATGATACAGAAGTGTATCATTATGTTTCTATGGAAGAATATGAGGTATCATTAATGTACAATTTTGTTGAATGTAATATGAACTGAAATAAAATCAATCCTTGTTATTGGGAATATTGTTCGGCTGGTTTTCTTGGCTTGTATGTTCATAGTTTGTATATTTGCAGTTATTGTATACCACGAAAGAAGTTATAGATCAACTGATTCTTTCACATTACACTTGTCATGCCATCTCTATAGTAATATAAAACCTGTGATGATCTGGGTTAGAGTTGATCTTCAGTAACCCATGCTTGTCGTAAGAGGCGACTAACAGATGATGACGACAAAGGCAACTGACGACACATGTCATCATATCCCTACTGCGTAGATTGATGCTCATGCTGTTGATAACTGAATTGTCTGTCCTAGTCCTTAAGCATCGTAACAAGCAGCAGAAGGCAGATGACTAAGGTCAAACAAGCAGCAGAAGGCAGATGACTAAGGTCAAACAAGCAGCAGAAGGCAGATGACTAAGGTCAAACAAGCAGCAGAAGGCAGATGACTAAGGTCAAACAAGCAGCAGAAGGCAGATGACTAAGGTCAAACAAGCAGCAGAAGGCAGATGACTAAGGTCAAACAAGCAGCAGAAGGCAGATGAACAAGGTCAAACAAGCAGCAGAAGGCAGATGACTGAGGTCAAACAAGCAGCAGAAGGCAGATGACTAAGGTCAAACAAGCAGCAGAAGGCAGATGACTAAGGTCAAACAAGCAGCAGAAGGCAGATGACTAAGGTCAAACAAGCAGCGGAAGGAAGATGACTAAAGTCAAACAAGCAGCAGAAGGCAGATGACTAAGGTCAAACAAGCAGCAGAAGGCAGATGACTAAGGTCAAACAAGCAGCAGAAGGCAGATGACTAAGGTCAAACAAGCAGCAGAAGGCAGATGACTAAGGTCAAACAAGCAGCAGAAGGCAGATGACTAAGGTCAAAAAACAAGCAGCGGAAGGAAGATGACTAAAGTCAAACAAGCAGCAGAAGGCAGATGACTAAGGTCAAACAAGCAGCGGAAGGAAGATGACTAAGGTCAAACAAGCAGCAGAAGGCAGATGACTAAGGTCAAACAAGCAGCAGAAGGCAGATGACTAAGGTCAAACAAGCAGCTGAAGGCAGATGACTAAGGTCAAACAAGCAGCAGAAGGCAGATGACTAAGGTCAAACAAGCAAGCGGGAAGGAAGATGACTAAAGTCAAACAAGCAGCAGAAGGCAGATGACTAAGGTCAAACAAGCAGCGGAAGGAAGATGACTAAGGTCAAACAAGCAGCAGAAGGCAGATGACTAAGGTCAAACAAGCAGCAGGAAGGCAGATGACTAAGGTCAAACAAGCAGCAGAAGGCAGATGACTAAGGTCAAACAAGCAGCAGAAGGCAGATGACTAAGGTCAAACAAGCAGCAGAAGGCAGATGCTTTCTTTGTTAACCAAGAGTGGTTGACAGGAGTATTTGTAGACACTAGCTGCCATTACCTTTCTACAGTCATAGACCCGTGAAGGTCCGGGTTAGGATATTGATCTTCAGTAACCCATGCTTGTCAAGAGGCGACTCCGCTGGATCAGGCTCGCTGGTTTGGTTGACACGTCATCGGTTATCAATAGCGCAGATCGATGCTCATGCTGTTTATCACTGGATTGTTCGGTCCAGGCTCGATTATTTACAGACCGCCGCCATATACCTGAATATTGCTGGAGGTGTAGAGTAAAACTAAACTCACTCACTCTTACATTCATTGCTGGAGCAGACCTCCATTTTGTAACACATGATAATGTTATGGTATGATGAAGTCGTTGATGGCTTGAAATGTTCCAGTTTAGGAAGCAAGTAGAGAGCTCAAGACCCTTTGCATGTGTGTTGTAACAAAACATCACATGCTAGCTTGGCATTCCGGTGTAGATTATAATAGATATAATTAGCCACCTTTCTGTCATGAGGCGTTTCCACCTCTGTTGGGACTAGTCCAGCCAGGTAAACGTCGTGTTCCTACCAAGGAATACACCCACGTCGGTGTATACCTTGGTAGGAACACGACGTTTACCTGAACTGGACTATTGTTGGGACATTGCCGAACTTTCGGGGATGATGCTCCTCCCTTTTTGCGACAGTCGTATTGCTGTGCTCAGTGTCTCCCAGAGCAAGGATCGTTGTTAGAATGCCAGTTCTCCTGATGGTTTCACGATTTGTCAACGCCATAGCCATGTTCGTGCGTTTTTCCCCAGCTACACTGCCATGGTATAACAGACATCAGTCCAACACCGCACTCATTAACTCACTCAGGTGGTAATAGAGAGGGACTCGAACATGATTAAATATACTCTTCAAAAATAAGTAGGGGAACTTCATTTTTAATTTACAATTGAAAAAATTGGGAGATACATCAAGTCAATAAATGTTGATACAGTACAACCAGAAATTACTGAAGTTAAAGATTGTAATTTTTAAAACATTTTCACTCATTACTCACGTATTAATGTGAATATTAGCAGAACATAACTCCAGATTCAAAGACAGGTGAACAGTTAGTATTTTGTCAAGACACCATGGGCAGCAATGCAGGCTTCAATGCGGCAGGGGCATACTACTGATCAAAGAAGTTAGAAGGTCGTGGCCCATGCCGTCCCAATATCGGACCACCTCTTCTTTCATTTCAGCAATATTTGTCAGATTTTTCTTATTGACACTTTCCTTCATAAGTCCCCAAACATTTTCTGTTGGATTTAGGTCAGGGCTATAGCTTCAGCGAATCTAATAATGTCATATTTTGGGTCCGAAACCAGGCCTGTGAATGCTTTGAACGATGTTTTGGGTCGTTGTCCTGCTGGAAAATAAAAAAATTTCCATAGAACACGTGAGCAGATGGAAGTAAATGTCCCTCGAGAATATCTGTTGTACCGCTCACTGTTCATATTCCCTTCAAATACACAGAGGGGCGTTCCCCTTAACACAGATATACCACCCCAAACGTTAAATTTCGGACTGTACTTTGGGCGCTGATACAAAGGTTTTTCAGTTTGTTTGGTCCAGAATTTCAGTGTATTAGGAAACAGCCACACAGAGCTTTCATCTGAGAAAAATCACATTGTCCCAGTTAAAATTTCTATGCTGTAAGCATCAGTTCAACCTTCGCCTCCTTTTGTTCAGGTTTCATGATCGGTGATGGAATTCCTCGACTTTTCTGCCAACCCATTGCATGCAGTTACTCTATCAATCATACCCAGCCTTAAGTATTCTAAACTCCCTCGTTTGTTTTAGAAACAAGACTACCAAGCCGCCTCCCTGTCACCAACAGTCAATTTTCTGGGCCTACCTGCGCCTCCTGGTGCTCAGCCATATCCATTTGCAATATTTTTCAAAACACGGTAAACAGTGGACAAAGGGATGCCTGTTCTACTTGAAATCACTTTAGCTGATCTGATATCCTTGTTATAATACTCTAAAATCATCTTCCTCTTCTCTAAATCATCCATACTGAGGATCACTGAAAATGTCGTCTGCTAGCAAGTATACAAAGGGGATAACCCTTCACAAACTAATGAAAAGGATTAACGGAGTTGTCTCTCTTGAATGAAACCAAGCACTTGATAGCTGGTTAAGGTTGTTTAAACTGTAAATCCAATTAAAACATATTCCTAAAATTCTCAATAATTTCTGGTCATACTATATCATAATGAATGTTTTGAGAGTGCATTGCCACTTTCACTTCCTTATGACCATCAGTAAACAAAAAAAACTGGCTAAAAACAAACACTAACAACTGTATGAAGCATGATGATTGTCAAATTTTTGGTTTACAGTAATATCAACCTTCTTGAAAACCGTAAAGATCAAGAATGACACCCCATTCGCTGTGTTTAGAGGTGACAAAGATTAATGGTGGTGCGTTCATTGTCTTTGACAAGTTTGTTAACGCTTATACATCCTATCCAAATTGAGTTCAGGTTCCGCTACTTTTTTAAGAGTATATATGGAAAATTTTCAACTACCGACACCAAGGATAAGGCTATGAAATGCATATTATTGTCGATGACGGATTCACCACATCTCGCGAAAGTAGTCAACTCACATGGGAAGCGCTACATTCTACATTCTGGGACAGTACTTGGTAGGACAAAATTTCAGCAAACTGGTTTCCAAGAATAAGAGACGTTCCAGGTTCATCATCTCTTGTGATGATCGTTGGCTCGTCACGCCGAAGACCCGGGTTCGAATCCCCACATGGGTACAATTTGTGAAGCCCATTTCTGGTGTCCCCCGCCGTGATGTTGCTGGAATATTGCTAAAAGCGGCGTAAAACCAAACTCAGTCAGTCAGTCTTGTGATGATCTACGTCGCTCTGAAGCAGAAACATCTGATTTTGTTGATTGAGTTGTAATCATGATGAGCCGTGTGCTGACCACAGCCAGGCTGACACTAAACAACTAACTACATTAAGCATATGCAGTGTTATTATTTTGTATATAAAACGTCATTACGTTTAAACCCCATGTGTATTTGTAAAAGATAATTCATTCCTCCCGTAAATGTTTCTTTTGACAATACACTCACGCTAACTATGTTTCTAGTCCTTCATCACCATCGATTTGTTGTTTTTATACCCATTCTGTTATTATGTAGTATTATATATACATCAGATAATCGAGGTGGCTTCAACCTGTTTTGTGTGACGTTTTCAACACTATCCTGGAAGAAGAAAAAAACGATAGCCACCGATGCACACAAACATGACATATAGTTCTTGTTGCAAATACGTTTTAGAATTAGTGTATGTCAGTATTTCTAAAAAATATCTGTTTTGCTTTAGGGCATGGTGATATCATAAATCGTATTTTGGACACAATCGGTTATAAATTGAATACCATCTAAAACATCTCCAACTAGACGTCTGTCTAAGACAAACGGTTCCGTCAGAACATTTCCGTTTTTCATCCCCTCTTTAAACTGTTACTGAAAACGTTCTGAGAAGAGAAAGTGAAATGTATTATTGGATAGCCTGAAAAAAGAAACGAGTTACCGTCAAAACGTCGACACTCGCGCATCTAGAGTCGGATTAAGAAGACAAGGGCAGACAACTCGCAGGTGTTGATATGCA